ATATATATACATATGTATACATACGCATAGCGCCTGCATTCGCCACCCTGGTGCCGAGAGGAGGATGGGGGAGTGCATTATTTAGAGTTTAGGTTTTAAGGTTTGGGGATTAGGGCGGTAAGTTAGGACTTGGTGAATGGGCCATAGGGACGATTGTCAGGAGACTTGATGTGACCGGACATTCTCAGCATGGAGCTTGTCGAAAGCATCCCCATATCATCGCAAGTACGCAGCCCCCATAGTGTCCTAAAAATGATCCCTGTTCTCAATTGCAGCCAGTAATATGGTCGTATATGAAACCTCTCCCTCAGAAACACAGGATTTGGGAGTTCTAGCCTTCGGGATTTAGGCTTAAAGTTTGCGGTCGTATAGTAACCCTAAACCCTAAACCCATTAGGATTTCGAGAGAGGACCGTGCATTTGCGGCATGCAAGATTATGTCATGTCTTGAAAGCTTGAGGCTATTCTGCGGCTTGATGGTTAAAATACCCAAGCTGCTTTCCTGGACCAAGAAGCATTCACAGCGTGCGACAAGTACATGGCGTATCCTTGAGCATTGGCTGCGAGCATTGGTGTGCCACAGCTAAGTGCCTCCATTGCCTGAGATTGGAGCTTAGCTTGAGGTTTGTGAATGAGGCTTTACCTTACTTTTGCAGGGGTTGAAAGTTTAGGCAAGCAAAGGGCTTGTGGATAACTCCCATATAAACCGTGGTAATTCAAACATGTAACCCTAAACCCTAAACCCTAAGGCTTTGCAGCTTGCAGTTTGTTTCAGCTTCGTCTTGGGGTACAAGCTGTTGGGCCTTATGAGAGCTTAATGAAGACCAAAATGCCCCCAGACTATTATTACCGTACTATTATTGCTGTTATTACCTTTAATACTAACCCAAACCCCAAATAGCAGCTTCCTTTTTCTTTTCCCTTATCCCGCCATAATCACTAGTTTGGGGGCAGTTGAAGCTCCGAACAACGCCAGGGAGCTGTGAAGCCCACCGTCTCCATGGTAGAAGCAGACACATGAAGGTCAGCGCCACGCAAACTTAAGGCAACCTAGCAGTCGGGTTTAGGGTGAGTAGGGTAAGGGATAGGGACGCTGGAACAGAACATGGAAACTACTATTTAGGGTTTGGGGTTAAGGGTTTGGGGTTTTGGGGGTCTAGGGTTTAGGGCGGAAAAGATTTTCTTTCTTAAACCAGGTTTCTATGGCCTGCAAAGTGGGAGAAATTCTTTCAGCACCCTTAAACCCCAAACCCTAAGCAGGGAAGCTCACACCAGGACCAGTGGAAGGAATACAGCCTGCCCCTTCTGCCGCAAAACTCCCCCCAACCTTCCATTTTCTTGTCCATTGTCCCTATATGACCCCTAGATTATACCGACTCCTATCTTCCCTTATTCCCTGGCAATGCCAAATCCCCAGCCCTCAGGCCCCCCCGCACAATCGTAACCAGGCTGAGGGTGTAGTGTTCACAAACCTCACTTCGGATCGGAAGCCTCGTAAACCCAACCGTCGGTTTACACACAGCATGCATGACATGCATATTTGGGTATCAATCCTGTCAGCCTGGATCCCTGCAGAAATCAGCAAGCCCCAAACCTTAAGCCCTAAGCTTTTGGAAAACTCGACCTCCTCGCGGCTTGCCATATCCCCAGTACAATACCTTGGCTACATATGCAAGGCCCTGAGCAAATGGTAGGGGTTTAGGCTTTAAGTTCCCAGGTTCATAATCAATGGGGCTAGGGTTTGTACCTATTTGTAAGTTTTCTGCTTTTAGGATGTAGAAGCTGGGGCTTGGCTTGTTGTTTTTTCACGGCTCAGGATTTGGGGGGGGGATGCAATTGAGAGTTTGCAAGGATAAAGATTCCTGCGAAACCAGAAGCACGAGCCGGGCAACTGTCACAAGCTTGGAAATGAATGCGTACATCGCAGGATCTTGAAAAGCCTAGCTCACAGGTCCAAGATGCAAACGGTTTTCTGGGCCATGAAGCTCTTTCAGCTGTGGCACCATGGATCCCGGACCTATCAGCGCCAAGTAAACGTGTTTGGGGGCACGCTTGTGGGCATCCACGAGGAATTGAATGTCCTTCTCTGCTGTCACACGGCCGACATACCTGACCGACTCGCAGTACACATTCAGGTAGATACCTAATATTGGGGTCATATTGGGGCCATATTGGGGTTATATTAGGGTCATATTGGGGTTATATTAGGAGAATAGACAACGGGGGGCAGATCCATTTCACCTACGGGCAAATAGAAAGAGGCTGTCCGGTAAGAAAACCTTCGAAGATCTTCTATCCAGTCCCGGGAAAATAGTAGCCAAAGCACACCATCAGGTATGCATCCTCTGCACCGAAGGTCAGGCGCTTGCGAGTCTCCTAGGATGGAGTTACATGAAATCATCTTACTTGCTAACCATGTAATAACCATGTAAGTTCCAGTGACTACAAATTATGCTGCACTTTCCGAACCTTACAGGTCTCCTTGACTTGCTCCTCCGGCTGCTCAATCCGAAAAATCTCGCGATCCACCATTGGACCCCAAATCACCTGAACACATGCTTCTAGGCAGCAGCCATGGGTAACTTGAAACTCCCAGGAGTGAACACTCCCAGCATTCTATGTCAGCATTGTATGGAACATAGACTACAAAAAGAGATGCAGGCTTTTCTGATTCTACGATTTCTAGAGGATTTGAGTGAGCTTTAACCATGTCAGTCGTTCTCAGCTGACATATACTATCTGGATGATCTCCATGTCATCCTCTTGTTTAATGAGCCTACATAACCCTCTTGTATAATGAAGCTACATAATCCCCCTGTGTACTGAACCTACATAATCCTCGGTCTAGTTGCTGGCGCCACGCGCTGCTCAGAAACTCCAGCATTCCGAAGGATGACAAGCGACTGCTTGGACACTGGGAAGTAAGTAGCCCCAGAGAGGGCCCAGTTCCTGTAACCCCAGTAGACCATGCGCACTGACATCCATGTATGGAGCCGTCCCAAGAACCCCCTCAGCGATGAAAAATTCTCATCCCTTGCAGCAATCTGAGCGACATCTGTATGCAGGGAAATAATCAACGGGACTTGGCAAAAAGCACAGGCAGCCGCCATCACTTGCATGGAAGCCTCCTGGGTGGCATGCACTAGATCTGGTTGCACACGCTGGATCACTGAAATAAGTATCCTCAAGTTGTAGAAGGAGAGCTGCATGCACATGTTCTTCCGGTACACTGGTGTGGTAGAAGTCCGCAGCGTCACATGCTCCACACCGTCCATGGCCTCTAGGGGGTTAGTTTCCCTCCCATTCTCTTTTCCATTTGATTCTCCATTGCTGGAGTATTATCCCTAAACCCTAAGCCCTGGATTCTTAATCCTAAACCCTGAATCCTAAATCATAAATCCCAAATGTCCCCTACATCATCTAGGGCCTCCAACTTCGGTGCTTCACTGCCCTTCCTCAGCTCTTAGCCCATCATGAAACATGCACAAAAATTATATGGGGACTTCCAAAACATCAGGGCCCCTTTACAAGGAATGTAGTTGCTACATGGGGATTATATAATGCTATGGACAGTGTAGAATTGAGGCTTTCCTGAAATTAGGGTGCAAATTCTTGGGTGGTTCTTACAATAGGGATTGTATGATGTTGGTGTATATTGGGGCCCACTTTTCAGTAAACTGGCATGTTAGCACCGGGAGAGGGCCTTTTGGACATGACCAGGTAACTCAAGCTGTCGGTACTCCAGACGCCTGATCATCAAAAGATGAGGCTTTGCCTAGCCCCACATGGCGCATGGCATTCAAAAGCCATGCCAACAAAAACCAAAACTTTGCAAAACTACCGGTAGTACTGTCCGACGAAGATTCAGTGAGAAATCCGGGGTCACCAGTGTCACCTTCACGCCGCGCTTCACCATCGCCCTCACCTAGGATTCCAACGGGCCAGGGAGGTAAGTTCAGAGCCAGCCTAAGCTTCCAGAAGTCATTGGTCCGCAACGTCAAAATTTCCAAGCGGCAGTGGGTGCCAAGGTTTCCGCATCTGTGGAAGTAATGAATTACAGGCAAACCCTGACTAGGACAGTTAACCAAAAATTGATTCTTCCAACCCACGCATTTTGGGTTGGAATGGGACGTGGGGAATTCCGCAGAGGCCTCCGCCAAGTCCAGGTCTGGGCTTAGAGATTGCGGCCTCAAGGTGCAAGGTGAGGACTCTGAATTCATATGTGAGAGGGGTTTTGAAAGGTCGGCGCCTGTCAGATTCGACATGTTACGGAAGGTCCTTCGCAGATATCACAAACGCGCACGACGATGGGTCAAGGGAACTCTCTGTTGCACGAAAACGGTCATTGCGGGATGAACGAGTCTACCGCAACACCAATGGATCTAGTCTCTCTCTTTCAGAAATTTGGGCTCGCGCAGCGTTCATGAGCCCTCAGCCATCTTGCCACGGTTAGAAGAGAGAGGGACGGCATTGAAACAGGACGCTTGAAAAAGGCAATTCCTTCCTGTGAGACAGAAAAAGGAAAAGCTGGCTAGCAAGCCAGGGCTACCTTGGTACAGTATGCAAGTGGATTACCTATATAAGAACTTTCGCAAGAAAGAAATATCTCTTCCCATCCTGCTGGTCCATCCAGCTCGAACTTTCCGACAAATATATTAGAGCAACTTACTGATGGTTAGTAGGGAATAGGGGAATATTTTTGTATAGGGATTGTATTCCTTTATTCCGTGCTACCCACCAGTAAGTCAACGCTCACGCAGCAACCACTGTCGCTTGGCTCTGAGTCACATGGGCCATCATTCGGACGGCGACTCCATCAACTTGGCCAGGAAGCCTGGATCACGGATTTAGGGCCCGAGGCTTCAGGTCCTAGGATTTTGGGCCTACGTTCACAGACTACTTATGGCTGCGATTAAAGCTTCAGAAAACAAACCTTGCAAATTCTGGGCATAACTCTCTTTAAGCTGTCAGCCAATGAAGCCTTATTACCGCCCAAACACTTTAGATCTTAACTTGCAAACCCCAAAAAGAAACCCCCAGGTCTTGGAAAGCCCCATTTTGGGCGTTGGGTCTTTAAGGTCTTAAGCCCTGACCCTAAACCCTAAACCCTAAAACCTAAACCTTGAATCATAAACCCTTAGGGCTTAGGGATGAAGAGCCGGGCCCAGCAGCCACGAGTGCGAGTACACCAGGACGCTTGAAGGACCGCTGTGGCCGTTCTTCGCCATGGCTCCAAAGGTGGATCCTAAAAACCTAAATACAAACCCCACAATGGTTTAGGGTTAAGGGTTCAAATAACAGGGATACATGGGGGTAATGGAAAAGAAAATGGAAACTTCTATTTGGGGTTTAGGGTGTTACTCTCCCGAATAATGGAGAATCAAATGGAAAGGCAAAGGGCAAACGAAATGGAAGCTACAATAAATGAAGATTAAATAAGGTTCCGGGAGGCAAGGACTACACTAGGGTGTAGGGTTTAGGGTTTACAGAAAGTGGAACGACTAATCACTAGTTAGCAAGCAGGTGCATGGATCGTACGAGCTAGTTGGACGTGGAATAACTGTACACTCTACAAATGTCTACAATACCTGAGAGTCGATATGGGCTATGACGGAGCCGATGTCAAGATCCCAGTCCTTCGATCTGGGGCTTTCCATACCGTAGGGCCCCCCTGGCTTGGAGTTGGTCATCTGAACTTAAGGTTATTATTACTGCTGTTTCTCTGAGAACTGTTACTATTTTTGCGATCATTTGCGATCATCACTGTTACTACTATGATTACTATCATTGCTACTACTACTACTACTACTACTATTATTATTTTTGCTACTCTTCCTATGTCTGCCATTTCAACTATCATTGCTATTTCAGGCCCTAAGGTTGAGGGCACAAGGGTTTGGCTTTAGGGTCGCGCAATGATCATCCTTTCCTGGAGTGCTCCATCATGCGGGGATATCCCAAAATTAGGGGTACCTTTTCAGGGTATATATGAGATTATACATTGGTGTATGAGGCTTAGGGCTTACGGCTAGGGGCTTCCCAAAAATTAGTGTACCTTTTTGGTGGTCTCCATAATAAGGATTATGGTATATTGGGGTCTATGTCGGGGTCCCCCTGTTTTGGGGGAAACTACAAAGTCCGGTTAAGTGTGTCAGTACCGCATGACACGAGAAAGTGCTTCAAGCGTACAGCGCGGCCACTCAAAAAGCATGGAAGTAGAACTGTTCATAAGAAAATTGGGACAAGGCAGCAGCAAGCAAGTTGAACTTACAGTCCAGCTCAACCTTAGCTGTAGTGAACTGAGACTTGATGAGCTCTTTCTCTACAGCACGGTGCGCATTCCACACCACCCAAAAACAAGAGCATTCCCCACACTACTTGCAGCCCGCTCTAGAAATGTACATCTTCCTATTTGCTGAGGTACCTTCCCAACACAGCAATCCGATGATTCTTATCTTGACAGTGTTCGAGCGTTCCTCTGTGAACGTCTGTAAATGACACGGTGGTTCTGCGTTGCAGGATCAGGTTAGCTAGTTGAGGACAAGGAGCCAGGCAAAGCATCGGCTCATGTCAGCTCATGTTGGGGAATTCTGAATATTATCACCCTGAGGTTCCAGGAAGATTGCAGGAGTAGAAAGGGTTTATGGCGCTCACTTAGATATTTGATATGAGGTACTGGCTTGAAGAAACCTATATGGGCCTTGGTCTAAATTCCTAGTATCCCCCTTAGTAACTCCCATAATGCTCTGCTATATAATCCTCTATATAACCCCGTTTAAGGAGTGTAGACTATAGTACATACGAAGCTCTGAATTGAACTCGGCAATCATGACAGACTGACTTCTTTCCCGAAGAGGGACCATACTTCTACAAAACTTAAATGGAAGGTGTGGGGTTCAGGGTCATATGGGGCCACTTATACGGAGGTTACAGGATTAGGGTTTAGGTTTGTATTAGGATTTCGGAGTCGAAGTAAACAATGCGTCAGTAAGGAGAAAACAATCTTCCAGCTGGCACGCTCCCTCTGCCCTAAACCCCAAGCTCGTGCGCCCTAAACCCCTAGAAACTCAAAGCGTGTCATCGCTTTCCAACTTCTGAACTATCAGATGAACTAGCTTTATTGCTGGTACAAAACAAGTTCCTGATTTGGATTAAAATTGTCGAAGGTTCATGGGTGGTGTCAAGTAGGGTCGCACAAGCCCTCCGCAATGTCCTTCTTGAGGCAGCACCCTGCTTTTCAAAAAACCTTGTTCAATGGAACGGTGTTTTGGCATACCACAGAATCTAGGTGCGAAGACTCAAAAGCTCTAAAAAGTGTTTGAATCCCAGGAGACCTGAAAAACCAAGAGTTTGGCTGAAACCTTTCTTCCGTAGTCCTAGCACCAAGTCATGAGAACCCATGATTAATTAACTTCGACGGGTCGCAGGGATCACCCTAAGCTAGTTGCAGGATTCCGGATACGAGTGCAGTTACGCATAATGATCTAGGAACTTGCGGTATTGAGGGTGGAAAAGATACGCAAAGAAATGCAAGAAGCCTTTTTGCCTGCGGAAAAGCCAGTTGACCTTGGACTTCAACCCCAATTCTGATCCTCGGCTGCACAATTGCAGGAACCTTTAGGAAACACTTGTTTCATCCGTTGTAAAACAAAAATAGTTTTGGCACATACACCAGCCCCGACAGTAAAAAGCAACTTGTAGCCCTACATCAAGCCTGATGCTCCCCTTCAAACTGTGCATAGCAGGACTGAAATCCCCACTGTCAATCCATTCCCCCACTTCCTGCTACACCTCAATTCACTCAACTTCCCAGGATCCAAACTTGCAAGGGTGGAAGCCATGCCAGTGTGGATAAGCGTGAAGCTGCCAACTGCAATTCTTACCTGGGGGGGCATTCAGACCCATAACAAGACCTGAGGCCAAAGTGCGGGTGCCGTCAAATTAGGATGAGAAAGGCGAAGCCTTGATGACAAAAAGTTAGGTGTGTAGGGTGACCCCTGCCACATACCTGAAACCAAAACAGGTTTGAACAAGTGATCCTAAGCCAGCCTAGTTTCTGGATAGATAATAAGACAACAAGACCTCAATGTCATCTACTGGTGCAAGTCCCACAGCTGCAGTTCCGAAGATGTGATGGAAATTCCTGGCAAACTTTGGGGGCTGCTCCGGGGTTGTAATTGGGATTTCGGGGTCCAACGTTGTGCCGAACGAGGAGTCGATTCGAACATTACAAATGCATTCCATGACTAGGGTTGCCACTCCTTTCAAAATTTTTCCAAGCAGCCCAGGCTCATGCCTGAGGAGTCCATGAGTCTTACAACCTCCACCCACTCCTGAATGTACGCTGCTGGTATGTGTATCATGTCATTCTGAGCTGTTTGCAGAACAGGGCAAAGCTTTGCGGGGATGCCAGCATTCCGGAGCCACAGCGAATCCCATCGGCGCTTCGCTCCAGCACCCATTCGCTGACAAAACTCGGATGATGCTTCAGCAAGCCACGGACGAAACCTAGGCTGGCGTGCGAGAATCTAGGTCAGAAAGAATCACTGGGCAGCAGCAGGACTCCGGCAACTGCTTTGCTGCTGCTCCCTCATGTACCACCCCTACGAATAGTTCCTCTGCTACTTATACTGTAACTGTGGCGAAAACAGCTCGAGAAGCTCTGGGAGACGATTGACATTCAGCTGCCGCCACTTCACCGTTCCCAGCTTCAAAGCAGTTGGGCGCAGCCTGTGAAGTTTGAGTTTGTTTGGGGTTCAGGGTGAAGGGTGGAGGGTTCAGGGCTTGGGGTCGAGGACTTCACAGCGCACGCGTGCGGGGGTTGGAAAAGGTCCTGGGTTTAGAGCTTCTGCCTCACTATGGGGGGGATACATCATTAGAAGGAGGTGTGCTTTTGAAGAAAAATGTTTTAACATGTTGAAGCTCCTGTGAAAAGACTTCGGGAAAAGGAGTGGGTCACCCAGCACTCGCCTTAATGGCCTCTTTGGGGATGTGCTTTGGGATCTAGCTTTCGAAGGGTTGGGTGTCGAGGGGCCCTTTTTGAGATGAAGGCACCTGCTGATAGGGGTGGATGCATTGAGATAGCAAGTGCTCCAGCTATCTCCTGCTGCCAAACCACATACTGGCCCGTCCACATACCTAGGTCTTGAGACAAGTTCTGAGGTTGTAGTGAGTTTGATGGGTTGTAGTAATAGCACTACACTGCACCTCAATTCCTTTTCCTTCTGGGATTCCAGTCATGAGTCATTACAGGAAGCCAAAATTGTACCCCAGGCTGCCTAAGATGCAAGGGTGACACCCAGAATTTATCTGGGTTCAGGTTTCCCATGTTCCAGGGCAGAAGAACTGCATCATCTGTCGCGAGCAAGAAACCCGAGTACTGCCCTGGGGAGGCGTGCTCGGCTGCATGAATTAAGGCACGCTGCATGACCCAACAGCCGCCTAGCCTGAGGATGCACATCGAGGCTTCTCAAAACAGGGGCTTTATAGGGGCTATATAGGGATAATGAAAAAGAAAATGGAAGCTACTTTATTATAGTAGGGTATGTATTGGGATTATAGTACTATGGGGTATATGGCGATCTTATTATAATATACCCAAAGCCATATTTTATCTACTTCAGGGGGACTATCATCCTTGTGAGTTAGATCGGGATTACGGGAGAGACTCCCGGATGGAGCTTGGGGTTCAGGGTTTCGAGCTTACAGCTTGGCATTGCAATTTGGAGACAATGTCCACTGCGAACTGTGCTTTTGACAGAATTCTTGCAATTTCTGTCTGCAACATGATAGCATTATGATTACGGGTCATTAGCATACGGATCTGAAGCCCGAAACCTCTGCGCTTTTTGCCAAGAGGTCAAGGGGCGGAAGGAAAACTACCTTGACCCCATCTATCCACAGAACTTTGCGATCTTCACTCCAGTAATGGCCCTGGGAATGCTGTAGAGCAGATTGCACCACTGGGTTGACATCCTTGGCCACCGATAGGACAGACTTAAAAAGAAAACTGACTGTTGCCTCCTGGAGATTCTGGAAAATACCAAACCTTCCCAAGAATGACCTAGCAGCATTGGGTGGGCCATAGCATGCACGATGGCCACCCCTATTGAAGCACCAGTTCGAGTCGCCGTAGAACGCCACATCACCAAAGTAGGCTGCATACAAATCACGTATCCACCGGGCCCTACGATAGGCCATGGGATGGACCAGGTATTTCACAAGCAGCACTCGGTGCAACGTTGAGCTTCCCATCTTCGAAGGCAACTTCCAGGCTGGCTTAGGAGTATCAAGAGCACCCACTCCCTGCAGCATCGCAAAAATCCACGGAGAACAAAAATACATCCCTAGCCAGAGCAGCATGCGACATTGTGGCAATTGATACATCGGGCAACGCCTCATGCGCAAGCTGCTTTAAAACTTCCTCCCGATCAAGCCAGAGGCAGAATACTATGGAAAACTGAAGACAATCAGGGTACGCACAAGAGACTTAGAGGAGCCCACTGGGACATGTGGCTACAGCTCTGTGTTATTGGAGATAGGGCTCGGGAGAAACAGAGCGTGGGAGTTCAGAACTTTGCCACTAAGTCAGGATACTCAGCCATCATGAAGAGATTCTAGGCGTCCGCTCAAAGATTATGCTGACATCATTCTAGCTATCCTGATAGATACCCACATGTTGCAAAAACTTCACGCCACAAGTTGGTATTGGGATTCCCCTTTGCAGCCTCAGCATTCAATTATTTACCCGCCCTCATTTTACCTTTAAAACTTTGCGCCCCAGGTGAAATTCCGGAAATGGCTCTTTTAAAATGGGGTATCCCAGGGTTAGGGCAGTGGTTGGCACGTATCTGTCAAAAAACCCTCCTACCTCACAGGGCCTTGGATATCCACCCATAGGGGTTCTATAGGGATTATATGATTATAGGGATATATAGAATAGGGATTATGTATAGGGTATTATAGGGACAATGGAAAAGAAAGTGGAAACTACTATAATGGGTTATTTAAGGTATACATATAACCCATTGGGGTAATATTGGAGTTATATTAAGTTAAGACTTATTAAGATGGGTCGTGAAAGGTTGGGTTGGGGCGTGCATGCCTATAAAATGACCCTCCCAGTAACATCAGCACTGTAAAATGGGGGCCACCGTCTTGCCGACACCTTGCCCTCCGTGAAGTGTGTGGTCCCAGAAAACCCCTCAGAACTCAGTTAAAACGTTTTACAGGGTCCCATTCCATAGAGGTAATGGGAAGGGTGATGCGTTTGGCCCTCTTGACATTCACAGTTGCCAGCACAATGTTCCTTTTGGGATCCCCCTTTGCACGCGGTAAGGCTGATGCCCCAAAAACTAGCCCAGAACCACCTTCCAGATGCATTTACCAGGGTCTAGGCAACTCCCCTAGAGTTTGTACATCCCTAGCTTATTCCCGCAGACCCCAAGCGTAACCCACAGACATTCCCTACACACCACACTCGAAATTACACAAAAGCTCGGACGTCTTGTGAACCGCTGTTCCGAAGCCTCTTGCCAACGGCAGAACCATGACTGTGAGAAACACCTCAAAGCCACTTCCGGGCTTAAGCTCAAGCGACTGTTTCCCTAGTGAATACATTTTTGCGATAGCGCATGGTAAAAGCTCTGATGCCTTTGGAGATGAAGTCCCTTACTGGCGGGCTGATCAACGTAGCCCATGAAGCATCGAAATGACTTCAGGACGTCATGTTTGTAAACGCAGCTAAGGGATCAAACGGCCTTTGTCTCTCAAGCCAGAAATTCTTGACTGACAATCCCCTTCAAAGAGTGTCAGGTTCCTGGCCCTTTTGGGGCCTGGCCATGTACTTGCGGCGGACGACCCAGTGGAAGATCTTGAAGACTTGGCGGTTGCCCACCAAGTTTCTGAGGCTGCTGTCCTATACTTTCCGACATGTGGCAGCGATGCAGTGGCCCAGCGTGTACGGGCTGTGTTCATTTCAGGACCATCATGCCACACACCAGACACGAAGCAAGCACACATCCAGCAACAGACACGGCATCCATGATGCGCGGAGCCCGTCACTTTTTTTGGATCACCAACAAGGCAGAAAGGGAGACCTCCCCTTCCTGAAAAACTTCTTCACTGCCACAACGAAACGGACCTCTCAAGGCTCCTGAATCACGTCAACGCTGAACAGAAGGGGAAAGGCACTCGGCTCGGATGCACACATTCGGCCGTAGGACGCAGCAAGGAGTCTGCAGGGCCTCTCAGCGATCTTATGGGCATTTTTGTCGGTATCCCGCTTCTGACATAAGGAATAGTCTGGATTCTTGGAGGGGAAGTGTCGCAGGGAAGCTCATGATGTAGCTACTTCCAATTCCAAGAGGAAGGAACGCGTAAAAACTAGAGGTTTGCTTCGGGGCCAAAACAAAGCACACAGACAGTACGGAAAGCTTTAGCCAAAAACCTCCACCCTAACATACCCTAACGAAAATCTTGGAACCTGAAACGCTTCACCCCACCCACCCACCCGCCCACTCCCCCGCTGACCCTACAGGAAATCCTACGATCTAACTCAACCCTGCCTCTGAGGCATGGTACAGCCTCGGAGCAGCCATCAGACTCGCAGCGCACAGTATGCTGTATCATCCAAAAAGGCAGCCAGTCACCTAAAGTCTCAGGTTTAGGATTTGGAGCTTGGGGTTTAGGGTTCCTACGCTTGGGGGGTTTCGGCTTTAGACTTGGTGTTTCTGGCTTCGCCCAATGCCTAGGGTTCTCCCGCAGCGCAGGTCTCATCGACCGCGTCAAGTTTGGCTCGGCTTGAAAGTTTGGGGGGCCGGGGGTGGGGGGGCGTAATTACGGTCCCTTCAGCTGCAGCCATCTTAAAACGCAGTATTTTGGGAACCCTCATGCAAAAACACCGCGTTCATGTTCGAGAGCGTCTGACTACCAAAGCATCCATGCCCAAGCCAGAATGACGTTCAGACGCTCATGTTCCAGAGTATCCGATTACCAGAACATCCATGTCCAAACTATAATAGCGTTCATGTTGAGAGCATCCCATTACCAGACCATCCATGCCCAAGCCATAATGACGTTCGTATTTTAAGTGCATCCAAGTACCAGAAACACTGTGCCCAGTGGGACGAAGTCTATGTCCTTTCCGGGAGCCCTGATGCAAAAACACCGCACGTAGTGGGACAAAATGCATGTGCTATACAGTTTCTGCTCGCAGGAGCACAAACAAAAGGCTGACTATCACCGCTCTGCTCCGTCTGCTACGCTCTTTTTGACCTGTAAAACGCAGTAAATCCGCACAGGGTCCCAAATCAGCCAGGCACCATCGCACGAAATGCGTGTGCGACATAGCTGTAATGAGGGCTGTTGCACAAAGTTCCGCGCAGCCCCTAGCGTAGTTACTACAACAAAGAAACTTGTGCATGCACAATCTCCTGCGAAACGCAGCACTTTCTGCAAATTTTCCCCAAAAGCACCTTCTCATAAGCATTCAGCAACAATATTTATGTTTTCTGATTATGCTTTCAAGGAATGGCGGTGCTTGGCCCAAATCCCGCCGCAAAGAAGGATGTCATGAACCAACAGGCCCCCTACCCTCCCCCCCACACTGAGAGGAAATCCTGAAGAAACTCTGAACCGTTGAACATTCTGAGCTAGTCACTGCGAACCATCTCCCAGCGGAAGCCGTGGGCCTGTGACAAGAGGAGGAGGTAGTGCTCCATGCTGTCCTG